CACATCAGTGAAGGAGAACAATTACCTGTTTGCTAAATGTTATAATAGATACAAAGAAAAACTTTTTTTTTTTTTTTTATATCGCAAAAAATAAAATACCCAGCAGTATTTAAATACCACCAAAAGAAAGCTTTATTTGTGTGAAAAAAAAATTATAACAATTTCATATGGGTATAGTGTTGCATGACCGCACAATTGAAAGTGTGACAGCGCTGAAAGCTAAAATTTGGCCTGGGCAGGAAGGGGTATAAGTGCCCGGTAGGCAAGTGGTTAATTGCTCCACCATAGAGTGTAGCCACCCTAAAGAATGCCAAACATGGATGGAAAATCAAACAAAAAATTGAGTCGGTAGACCAATCATTCGATTTTCATATGGTTTTTGTGCTTAATGAAAGAATATGATTTTTTTTTTTTTTTTTTTGAAGAATGATTTTCTAATTGTAGTTCAATCGTTAACAAAAAAAAGTGACATGCATATGAGCAGTAGGAGTAGTAGTTGATATCAATCCATCGTTTTTTTTTTTACTCATCTATGGCCAGGTTTAGACAGGAAGTATGCTACTGGTCTCCAGGTAAAATAAAGGAATAAAGCCTTAAAAAAAGAAAACTAATGCAGCCAAGATTAGTTAGCTGCAATATGTTAAACTTTTGTTTTTTGAGTTTAATACTGCTTTAGGGGAAGTCTCAGTTCTGCACATCATAGCTTTTAGCTTTTGTAGTGTTCCCTAATATATTGTACAACTTTTTTAGGGGAACAAATAGGGCTTTATTTTGGTAACAGATTTGATACACATTTTCATAAGTTTTAAGAGAAAAAATGTAAAAAAACTGCTCCTTTTTGTAATTCGTCCCAACACAACTTTTATGTAATTTGTGTAGCTTTAGATATTTACTCCAAAACATAAATTACATGTCTTTTGACTAAAAGGATATATTATAAGTGTATTTTTTTTGTTTAACATAGTAGAATGGTAAAGCTTAAAGAGAAACAGTCAAACAATTTAAAAATAACAAACAAAACCCTGAAGGAGCCAAATATGCTGTTAATCATATTTAGGGACTTCATTTCTAGTATGGGTTTTCACAGAAATAATTTAGGATAAAGACATTATTTAGCATTTTTGATTGCTCTATATCTGGATGTCATTGTGCTTATGTTAGTGTTTGGTACTTAATTAGTAAATGCAAATGTCCTCAAGTGCATCTAATATATTTTTGGGACTGAGGGATTAATGGGGGAAGATTTTTCTTTTTACTTATTTTTTTTTTTTCTTTTTTTTATGCTTTTTCGCAATGTTATTTCTTGATTATGTTTGCCGATCTTGTCAAGGAAGACTCAGTGCAGCTTCCCACCTCTTCAGCCATACATTACTTATAGTGTGCTCCCCATTAAGAGCAAGCAATAGCATCAATTCTTCTAGGTGAACTTGCACACAGTTTTTAGCCACTACAGGCAGATACTTCTCCATCATGCCATACCATCAGGGAGGCGTGTGAATGACCCCAAATTTATTCTGGAGCAGGACAACGACCTCAAACATACAGCCAATGTCATTAAAAACTATCTTCAGCGTAAAAAAGAACAAGGAGTCCTTGAAGTGATGGTTTGTCTCCTTCAGGGCTCAGATCTCTACATCATGGAATCTGTCTGGGATCACATGAAGAGACAGAAAGATTGGAGGGAGCCTTTATCCACAGAAGTTCTGCTTGTTTGGAACAACTTACCTGCCGAGTTCCTTCAAAAACTGTGTGTAAGAATACCTAGCAGAATTAAGGTTGGTTTGAAGGCAAAGGGTGGTCACACCAAATATTGCTTTGATTTGGATTTCTCTTCTGTTCACTTTATTTTTATCAATTAACAAAATTTGTAAATAAGAACAAAGTGTCTATTAACCCTTCTATTTCTGAAAGCATTCCTATTTTGCAGCATTTTTTACACCTGCCTAAAAATCTTGCACGGTACTATATATACAGTGGGGATCAAAAGTTTGGGCACCCCAGCTAAAAATTTGTATTAATGTGCATAAAGAAGCCAAGGAAAGATAGAAAAATCTCCAAAAGGCATCAAATTACAGATTAGACATTCTTATAATATGTCAACAAAAGTTAGATTTTATTTCCATCATTTACACTTTCAAAATAACAGAAAACAAAAAAATGGCGTCTGCAAAAGTTTGGGCACCCTGCAGAGTAAATATCTTGTACTGCCCCCTTTGGCAAGTATCACAGCTTGTAAACGGTTTTTTGTAGCCAGTCAAGAGTCTTTCAATTCTTGTTTGAGGTATCTTTGCCCATTCTTCCTTACAAAAGTCTTCCAGTTCTTTGAGATTTCTGGGCTGTCTGTCACGCACTGCTCTTTTAAGGTCTATCCATAGATTTTCAATCATGTTGAGGTCAGGAGATTGTGAAGGCCATGGCAAAACCTTCAGTTTACGCCTCTTGACGTAATCCCCCGTGGATTTCGAGGTGTGTTTAGGATCATTATCCATTTGTAGAAGCCATCCTCTCTTTAACTTCGGCTTTTTCACAGATGGCATCAAGTTACCATCCAAAATTTGCTGAAATTTGATTGAATCCATTTTTCCTTCTACTCGTGAGATGTTCCCTGTGCCACTGGCTGCAACACAACCCCAAAGCATGATTGATCCAACCCCATGCTTAACAGTTGGACAGAGGTTCTTTTCATTAAATTCTGTGCCCCTTCTTCTCCAAACGTACCTTTGCTCATTCCGGCCAAAAAGTTCAATTTTAACCTCATCGGTCCACAGAACTTGTTTCCAAAATGCATCAGGCTTGTCTATATGTTCATTTGCAAAGTTCAAACGATGATTTTTTGTGGTGAGGACGTAGAAGAGGTTTTCTTCTGATGACTCTTCCATGAAGACCATATTTGTACAAGTATCTCTTTATAGTGGAATAGTGTACCACAACTCCAGTGTCTGCCAGATCTTTCTGGAGGGATCGTGCAGTCAAACGTGGGTTTTGAATTGTTTTTCTCACAATCCTGCAAGCTGTTCTGTCTGATATTTTTCTTGGTCTTCCAGATCTTGCTTTAACTTCCACTGTTCCTGATGACTGCCATTTCTTAATTACATTCCGAACAGAGGATATTGACATCTGAAAATGCTTTGCTATCTTCTTATAGCCTTCTCCAGCTTTGTGAGCGCCAACTATTTTCAGTTTCAGTTTTCTAGACAACTGCTTAGAAGAACCCATGGTGCTGATTGTTGGGGCAAGGTCAGATGAGTCTGGGCATTTAAAACCTTTGAGATTGACATCACCTGGTCTTCCCAGACGATGACTGAGAACAATCCATGACACTGGCAGGTCTCAGCTTGGCAAAGGGGGCAGTGCATGCTATAAATTCTGCAGGGTGCCCAAACTTTTGTAGACACCATTTTTTTGTTTTCTGCTATTTTGAAAGTGTAAATGATGGAAATAAACTCTAACTTTTGTGGACATATTATAAGAATGTCTAATCTGTAATTTGATGCCTTTTGGAGATTTTTCCATCTTTCCTTGGCTTCTTTATGCACATTAATACAAATTTTTAGCTGGGGTGCCCAAACTTTCGATCCCCACTGTATATTAACATGCTTTCCATGAGCATCCTTTGATTGGACTGCCTAACGCACCACATTGATCCAAAAATCTGACCTACAGCATATTTGTTAGCATAGTGCACTGCAATGCACCGTTGTTACTGTAGCACAGTTAGTGGTTTATTTACTAAAGCTGGATAGTGCAAAATTAGTAAATTGGTCCAAACTGCTGAAGTGTAAACTCGATTCCTTCTCTTAAAGTGTTACTAAACCCACAACAGTAAAATCAGTCTGTATATGCAGTATATGCAGTAAAGCATGCTTTTTATACTCACTGTGGAACCTAAGGGGTTGATCCTCTTCTTTATGTAAAAGTTCTGTTTGATCCTGGCTACTTCAGATCCTCCCATTCTTCCAGTGTGCCCCTCTTATCTCCTGAAAAGACATATTGTGTGGAGACACTCTGCACATGCTCAGTTTGGCTTGTATTGTTAGAGAGGTTTTTTTTTTTCTATTGGAAGAGTGCATGTGATCAGCACAGGGCCAACCAGCACTGTCCAGACAGAGGTCAGGGGTTCTGCATCGTCCTAGAGCAGAAAGAAAACTCCTCCTACAAGCTTTAAACCAGTGCTCTGCTGAACACTGATAGAAGTCACAAGACTGCTCTAACTGCTGATGAGAAAAGGCAGTTTATATTTACTAAAATAATTGCATTTTCATGTTCTGTGTACTGTGGGAGACCAGATATAGTGAATGCAGGAACCTGGGTTTAGTAACACTTAAAGCAGAGATCCAAAGAATAAAGATGAGCTCTGGCCCCATATGAACCTATGTGAACATGAAAGTTGTACTATTTTCTAATCCAGTCAGCTGCAGGCTTGGTCATTCACTGCCTACAACCCACATAAACAAAGGGGCATTGCCCATATATGGACACATACCCATATTTAGTCCATGACATTCACCAGCATTCTACCCCTTTGTTTAGAGTGATTGTAAACCTTCTTTTTTTAAAATAATAAATGTCATATTTACCTGCTCTGTGCAATGGTTTTACACTGAGTAGCCCCAATCCTCCTTTTCTAGGGTCCCCCGCTAGTGCTCCTGCCTTCACCTCTTTTGTGAGTGCCCCCCAAAAAAGCTGCTCCTATACGTGCAATCTTCTTGATTGTGGGCTTAAGCCTGAGCTGTGCTGCCTGTGTCTATAGAAACACAGTGTGGCTCAGCCCTGTCCCCTGTACCTGTTTCACAGGATTTGATTAACAGCAGCAGGAGCCAATGGCACCCGCTATCAGTCTGCTCTGTGAGGAGGGAGAAAAAAAAAAAAAGTTTCTTTGTTTCTATTATAAATTTTTCTCCTTCACTGATGTGCGTTGATGAGGCAGCACTGATGGGTATTGATAGGCAGCACTAAAGGGCACTGATAGGCAGTACTAATGAGGTGGCACGGATAGGCGGCACTGATAGGCAGCACTAATGAGGTGTCACGGATAGGCGGCACTAATATGCAGCACTGATAGGTGACACTGATGATGGGTACTGATAGACGGCACTGACTGGCATCACTGCTGGGCACTGACTGGCACAACCGCTGGGCACTGACTGGTGGCACTGACTGGCAGCACTGCTGGGCTGCACTGGTGGGTGGCACTGGTGGGCAGCACTGGTGGGTGGGCACAGGTGGGTGGCACAGGTGGGCACAGGTGGGTGGCACTGGTGGGCACAGGTGGGTGGGCACAGGTGGGTGGCACTGCTGGGCACAGGTAGGTGGCACTTCTGGGCACAGGTAGGTGACATTGCAGAGTGGCACAGGTGGGTGATCTGCTGGGCACAGGTGGGCGGAGCTAGTGGGCGCACTGCTGGGCACAGGTGGGCGGAACTTGTGGGTGGCACTGCTGGGCACCGATCATCAGGGCACTGATCATCAGTGCCCTGATGATCGGTGCCGATCCTCGCTCTGACAGCTGCCGGTTCTCGGCAGTACTTTCCTCACGATCTGACAGCGTGAGGAAAGTGCAGCCGAGAACCGGCACTTGCATTTCCCTGTGATCAGCGTGTCATTGGACACCGCTGATCACGTGGTAAAAGGCCGGTATGATTGGCCTTTTACCACATCTCGTGATCAGCTATGTCCGTAGGACACATCGATCACTGAGATCGCCGGGTGCGCGCCCCCTGGGGCGCGCAGGAGAGCGCGTTCTGGGGGGACGTCATTTGACGTCCACCCAGAACTGGCCGGCCGCAGTGCAGCCGTCATTCGGCTATCTGCGGTCGGCAACTAGTTAAGGTGATTGTAAAGCTTGACTTTTTGTTTTCCTTGAAATAATAAGCATGTTATACCTATCTGCTGTGTGCTATGGTATTACACGGAGCAGCCCAGATCCTCCTCTTCGAGTGCCCCCATAGGAAGCCATTTCCTATGGGGGCACTGGTGCAGACTTGCTCTCAACCCCACTGCCTACGTCTATGGAAACAGACAGCAGGGCTAGCCCGGCCCTCCGCTTCCAGATCACAGAGTTTGATTGACAAATGACAACAGCAGGAGCCAATGGCTCCCGCTGCTGTCGATCTGCCCTGTGAGGAGGGACAGAGCAGAAAGAACTGCTGCTGTTGGGCACAGTGTTGAATCGCGATCAGGCTCAAGTAGGTGTAGGGGGTTGGGGAAGGATCAAAGAAAGAAGTGGTCTTTGCTTCCTATTCAGGAGCAATTTAAGTTTCAACTTGAATTATTTGCTTGCAAAACTGCACTAGATTACACCCCCCTTTCCTTTTTTTTTTTTTTTTTTTAATAAACAAGACGGAGTTCCATTAAGAGAGAAATATCAAGGCTTGTGACTAAATGGATTTATAATCTCAGGACATTTACCCCTCGTGGGTTAAACATAGAGTGGGACATGAATGCTTTTATTAATAATAGTTAGATAAGCTTTTTTGGTTTTATGTATTTCATTTTCATTTAGATATGTTCATAACATGCATTTTAAGAATTTGGATCCTTTTTATGTGTATATGCATATTTTATATGTATGTTTATCATTACACCACAATATGGCACTATATCCTATGGTCACCAGGGATATTGAATGTGGCTGCCATTTATTATTTCAGCACAAGATGGTGCTTGTTGCGGTGGCTTGGTAAACTGCTCAATCTATGTGCAAATTTCATTAAGCAACTTGTGTGCCTTAATTTGGTGTAATTGATATGCCTATTTAAGGAAGTGGTGACTCACGGTCTTACTGTGCCCCTGAAGACATAACTTATGATGAAATGTACGTAGGGCGGAACAGAGGATCGAGACATTACCACGCATGCACGGCAGCCATTGATATCCCTGTACTGTGTTATTGAATGCCTGGTTTTTCTCATGAGAATGTGAGTGATTTTAACCATTTTAGTAAACTTTAAATATGGATTCACAGTATCCATCCACGTGAGGCTCTGGGACATAGGATCTTCATACAAAGTGTGTTTTGACTTCTCTAAGATTGAGAGTCACATTCCATTCGGTAAGAACATACATGTGCTGTGGTGGAAGGTGTATTCAGGTCTGAAGAGGACTACCATTTGAAAAGTATTGCCCAGTGATGAACATATTGGTTTGCATGGACTTTGTTTATACGTTGAACTTATTATTTGTTTTATTATATTGATTGCTTCATTAGTGTGGCATATGCTTTAGACTGTTTAATAAACGACCCACAGAGTTTGTGAATGATTTTCAGTGGATTCAGCAAACCTATAGGCAATAATGAAAACTGCCAACTTATAAAGTTCTACAAGTAGTAAGGACTTGTTTTCCCCTCTAACCACTGGTCCAATAAATGAGCCTGTTTATGATCTTTGCTGTGATTAATATGATTTTGTATATTCTTTTGAAACCTCAGCTTTTACAAAAATGTATCTACATTTGCTTTATCTTGATACAGACAAAACTGCACAGTGTCAAAAATCTATTATGCAGGGGTCCTGAAAAAAGGAGGCACCACTGCTTAAGGAGAAAAAGAGTTTCTGTTTTTCATTTAAGAAAAGTCAAGCTACAATAATGTCCCTTCTCAGAAACAGCAATTATTTCCATAATCTTACAGCCACACACTGCTTTACAGCTTAGTGGGATGGCAGTGAGACGTATGAACTAATGTAGTATAATTAACAAATAGAATAGGGGTTTTAGTTTGCATGGTCCATCGTCTCCCGCAGTGCTTAAATTTACCAAGAAAGGCCCACGATGATGCTACACACTAAACTCGGCATTGCTGAGATTTTGTTTTAGCCATACCAGAGAAAAATGTTGCCTTTAACACACGAACCCTGTGTTTAATTACCCAAGCAAAATTGCATAAATATGAATGAGCGCTAATGGTAGTAACTTGGCTTTGTGGTAGGCAAAACAAACTGATTTCTAAATGATTTGTAAAGAAAATGAGGAGTGAGAGCAGCTATTAGGTTTTAAACACTCTTAAATGATAATGTGGTCATCCATCCGTCAAGATGGAAAGTTGGAATCTGAGGGCTAACTACCCAAAATGCCTTGCATCTAGATCTAAATTAGCTGAGAGTTTTTATCTAGGTAAGACATGCAGGTGCAGTAAAAGAATTCCACAGATCGATGCCTAGCAGATGTCTCATTTTCCTGAAATGTATTTGGGCATATAAATGTGCCATACAGTTTGGAAACAAAATTTCATTTATATTTAGGGTTTTGGTTTCAGACTGATCGAGATATACAAACTATGAATTTCATTACAGTAATCCATGAATTCTGATGATGTCAAAGTTAGTTTAATCTACAGTAGATTACAAATGTTCCCCATCATACATCCCACTATTGTAAAATCACAAATTAATTTCTTTTACAAAGGTTTTATTAATGGGCAATCAAACAGAGCCAGCAATAGGGACAGTTACATTCAATATAATATGAACTTGGGCATAGAAAGCACACAGGCATGCTATGTAAGGATCCAAAGTACAGGCTAATGCACGTGTTGAGGACAAAGGGGTGCTAGACTATATGTCTGATAGTACATATGCATAAACTATGGGATATTGTACAAGGAGCATAAATCCCCATTATGAATAAGGATTGTACATGTTGCGACAGTCTAGGCCAGGAGGACACCTGGTAGTCAGAAAGTAAGGATGTAAAGAAGAAAAGAAAAAAGGAAAGGTAAGAAAATGAATAAGAGAAGGAGTCTCAGGGATCTGCACCACAGGGTTATCAACCCCTTGGCACTGGCGCCTCCTGGCCCTTTAAGGGTTTCAGAAGCCAGGATGAGGGCGGGGTTTTAGGGTCATGTGACCATCGTGAATCGCTGTCATGGCGGTCACATGATCAGGAAAGGCCCCGATCACAAGAGGAGATCGGGACCTTTCCGTGAGTGCCGGACATGTGTGCTGGGAGGGCGCAGGGTGCGCACTCTCAGCACATATGCTTTTTTTAATTGCATGCAAATGTGCAGCCACACATTTGCGTGCGCTCGGTGTGAAGAGGTTAAATTTACAAAAGTCTATTGTAAAAGCGGGATGGATGGGCATAGGCAATCCAAGGTTGCCACACCCAGCAGCATTTCTCGTGGGTGTCTGATAGTATAGCTTTTAATTTTTTGTTGATCATAATATTGTTTATGCAGTTTTTGACTGCTTCAAAACTAAGGACTGGAGTTTTCCAGGCTTTGGCTATGGTCAATTTGGTAGCAGTAAAGAGATGCAAGGCCAATTGTCATTTGGGGCAAAGTAATTCTGTAGTCGGTTTACAGAGAAAAGCCTCATATGGATTCCTTTTGAGGTGAGTGCGCAATATGGTGCGGAGCAGCGCATAGACCAGGACCCAAAGTCTCAACACATTCGGACAGGACCACCAGATATGTGTCATTGTGCCCACCTGTGAGCATCCTCGGAAGCAGTTCAGTGAATGAGCAGGAATAAAACATGCCAGCCTAGCTGGCACATAGTTCCATCTGTACAAGATCTTTTAAGAATTTTCCAAAATAAGTACATTCTCAGAGCTCTTGGATAGTATGAATGTGATGATCTGCCAGTTCTCTGGGTCCAGCCACACACCCCCAGTTCACTTTCCCATTGGAGATGCCAAAACCACAATGGAGGTTTTCTGGAGTTTATTATTGAGGAGTAGATCAGTAAAATAAGGCCAGAGGAGCGAGGTCGAGCTCAAAAGAGGTTCTCAAACTTGGTTAATGTATAGGGAGTAGGCTGAGATCTAAGGAGTTGGGATATAAAGTGGCGGAGCTGGTCTTTTTTGATTGGGAAGCATCACAATGTTGGCAGTCAATAAGTTAGGGTATAATGCTGAGTCATTTTTTACTGAATTCAATAGGGCCAGTAAATGAGGGGCAACATCAGCCACCAGTTTTTTATACTACAGCGCTATATAACCGTTAGGACCTGGTCTTTTTCCCGCCTTCAGGTCTTTGATACATTGGAGGACCTCAGAAACTTGAATATCATGGTCCATGAGAGCCTTGTGTGTGGGTGACAGCTTAGTCTGGGAGAGGTGTTTCAGAAATGTAGTAAGGCAATACCTAAATTCATCCAGCACCCATGTTTGCTTACTTGTAAGAACATTACGACGGGTACATAGTATGACTGGATGGAATTTGGGAGCAACGGTATGTAATCGGTTAGGCAGCATCGTATCCAGTTTGTTTGCTTTAGCGTACCATGTTTTGTTGAGAATCCTTTACTGGTAATGACTGAATGTAGTCCAGAACCCATGGACATGGACCAAAGACTGGGTTTCCTCCTTTCTGATGCTTTGCCAGGCTCTAACTGCAGCTGTCTTCAGTTGTTCTTTGTTTGTGGGATTTTC